AAAAAAAAAAAACCTCATTATCTTGCTTCCTATTGGTCGATATAATCTTATTTATGCCACCATCTATTTGCATAACAATAATACATTCTGGCACCTACAATTTGAAAATATAAAGCGTGAAATATATACAAGATTGAATATGTATAAACGTCTTTCGAGCCCTAGTGCTTTGCAGCACTGTAGAGAGACTGTTGATGAGAGATTTTTCTTCTGTGTGCTTGTCGTGAGTTCCCCTGCTTGTTTCTTCACTTTGCTGTCAATATGTTAGTTTATGTAAAACCTAATATAGTGAAAGCTTGTTCGGTATCTAACGCTCGTTTGTTGTAGGATCGATTGAAACAGCTCTGGATTCACCGAGTTTTGGGTTAGACTCAGTATTTTTGTTTGTGGTGATCTTGTTTTTTGCAGCTTATTTATACATCTCCAGTTTTCATGTTGATTTTATGTGAAGTGAAATGTATCTCTAATTGAAACTATGAATAATACTGTATAATCATCCGTAATCATACACATAATGGGTCCACCATGAATAATAATAATACACTATTGACACAACTTATATCCTTTTCAAATTCATTGTCCTTCATATTTTAATTAAAAAAAAAAAAAGTACATGAAGTGTTAATTTCATGTCGGCAATGGGTACCTAACTAAAATTCTGGGGCACATAGTTTTTGGACTTTCCTTAAGGTTCGCATAATAGTTCATTGATCCTCGTATACATGTCCAAGTTAGGTGTAAGGACAAAAACTAATCAATGCGTTTATCCATACATAAAGATAATTAGATAAATAAAGATGCCACACATGCTACTATTCTATTTGAGTAAGCCTTCTTTTTAGGTACAGATGAACATGGTTCGGTACGGTTTTAGAGATTGTAGTTCGAAGATTAAGAAATTTTTGACACATTACTAAAATTTGTAAGTCACTATTAATTATTTTATAAATATTCATATTATATAGAATTATAGTTGACACAAATCTATGAATAAGACACATCTAATGTTATCATTCAAATCATAACATCAGTTCGTAAAGTAGAGATGGTTCGGTTCGGTCCTCGTTACGTATATGTGTGAATCTCCAAAACCATACAAAATATTTTTTCAGTTCTGTTCGAGCAAGTCAAATGGCCAACGGCATTTTTTGGTTCAGAGTGATTTCGATACGATTTTTTAAACGATTCGAAATTCTTCGAGTTTCACGCTCAGTTCTACTTTTAGGCGCATCCAAACGATTACACGGTTATACTTTTTAATAGATATATATATTTTCAATGTGAAATGTCACACACTCTAAAATACAATATAAACAAGAAGTATGATTTTTATAGAATATGTATGCATTTTTGTTTAAAAAGGTTAAGGGATCAATTCCTCTAACGATTAACCATACCCACACGAGTATTTTTGTTGTATCTTTTATCTCTCTAAATGCACACATAAATTTACCAACTTCAAATATAGATATGGTTGATGCATTCAAAATAACAGCTTAT